AAACTACATCTATAAACCTAAAGATAAGAGAAAAGGAAGATAAAAATATAATCTTGAAAAACATGAAGAAAATAAAGATTATTGGTTCTGTAATTTTTACTTGGTTTTTCTTTTACAGGGGTTGACTAGCTGATTTGGGTTGAGCCAGAGGTAGTGGGAGATGACAGTTGGGACCTTCACGGAGGCTTAGAGAGAACCAACTCATCAAAGAAGCAACTGAGAATCGAATGAAAAGTATCTAGTAAGCTGAGTCCCACCCGGATGCAATCATCTTGATTTAGAGCTTTATTACCATGAGATGTGTTGATATTTCACAAATTAGGTGTCGTTCTGGTTCAATTATGGAACCCCTACAAGGATCAATCCCCAGGCTTACAACAATCACATAAAGAAGTCCATATCTTCAAACCTTCAAACAAGACTTGCCAAAGAGTGTTACTCGATCCATCCATCACTAAAAGACTTGCTATCAGACTGTTGATAATTTCAAAATCAACTGGCTTTCCTCTAAAACCTTTCGTTCAAGCACTCTTGCTACCATTGGTGATGTATGATCAAATAAAAAGCCTTATTGATGATACCCTAACATTCACACACCTTTCGATCTGATATGGAATAAAAATAGAAAAATCCATGTAATAGTTCCTAAAATCCATGTAATTCAAGTTACCTTGAGTTTTGTGTAACCGGGTATATTTTACACTTTACCTACTAGAATCGGTTATATAAGGTTTGATTTGAAGAAATAGGTTAGTTGGATGGTAATATATATACAAATGCAATAATACAATGGTATTTATAAAATCTTAATGGTAATTTTTGAACATTTCTTATACTTTCTTACCCTATTAAGTCATTTTCCCTATAAAGAATAAAACTCCACTTTTGCTTCATAAGTTTATGGGTGAATATATGTTCATATATAAACATATGTAGATATTAAACATGAGAAAGAGAGAGACCCAATACTTTTCGTTGGTTTATTACTAGAGATAGGAAGAACGAGAAATACATATAGCTTAGCTGATCGATTTTATTGGCAATAATAACATTGTTCGAAAGGGATGAAACCATATTCAGCTCTGTTGGATAATAGAAATTGTATTGTGGAAATCAATCTATCACATGGTTGCTAAATACCATCAGAAATATATAGTTTTTAGGAAAAAGATGTGTCGTCACATAGTCAAGTTCTTTCTCACCAAGACATTGATCAAGAAAATCCATGAGAAGCCGGTGGTCATCACTAGTAAAAAATGGCCAAGAGAAGGAGATAGAACTTCAATTGTGTTGTTTTTATAGGATAACAACCACTACTAGAAAGCTAAGTAATTACCTACAACAGAATTGGTAGGAAATCCGTAGGAACAAGGCTATCCCTACATATTTCCTACAAAAAACGGGTTGTAGGAAAAGCCCTCGTGGGTAATTTTTTCCTACAAATTAGCCACATACATTTCTACTCATTTCCTACGGAATATTCTATTACAAATTTAACTACGAAATACCTGCGAAACATGTTAACTACGGAGTATTTACATATTACCTACGGGTTATTTAGCTACGAAACTCCTACAAAATACATACGGATTATTTTCGTACGAAATGCTTTTCTTACAAAATACCTGCCAACTACTTTACCTACAAATTACCTACCAACAACATTTCTTACAAAATAACTACCAATTGATTTTCCTACATAATACCTACCAACTACTTTACCTACAAATTATCTACCAACATCTTTTCCTACAGAATACCTATATATTTTATTGGATTTTATTTCCTACAAAATGCCAACTGAATATTTATTTCCTACAAATTTTCTATGATTTTTTTACCAATTTTTATTGCTATATTAAATTTATAATTATTACAGAATATTTATTTCCTACAATTCAGTCAAAAATCTATTGCTATATTAAATTTATAATTTAAAAAATATCCGAATTTTCTGCTAAAAAACCAAATAAATAATTAAAATAATAGTCAAATATCATTATATTCATTACCATTAAAATAGTCCCTAACATACCATTCTTACATTCAAATACTCAAAATACCATTACAATACCATTACAAAAGCTAAGAACTAGTCAATAACATAACATTAATTTAGTGTTCTAAAATAAAAACTAAGAACTACTTGGTGGATTACCGGATGGATTGATTTGTTTCATAAAGGCCGCCAATTGTCGTTGCACTTGCAATTCCATTTCATGTCGGATTTGTTGCATTTGCAAATTAATTTCACTTTGCTTTTCATCCATGTTTTGTTGCATGTGTGACATTTGTTGTTGCAACTCATTTACCTAAATATAGCAAGACAAACACATGCAGTTAGTAAATGTAATTCAACTTTAAACCATGATAGCAATGTATTTTACTTTTAATTCAATATAAAAACATACCATTCATAATAACAATGTACATTGTTTTTAATATCCATAATAATAACTTTTAACATGCATAATAATAACATACTAAATTTTTATCCATTATACCATTGTACTTCACATTTCCAATCCATAATATCAATGTACTTAAGTTATTATCAATAACAACAATTTACTTTACCAAATATCAATAATAGCAACATACTATAATTTTCATCCATTATAGCATTATGTTTTACCTAATTTAATAATAGCAACATAGTATCATTTTCAACCATACACTTTACCTAATATTAATAATGGCAACATATTTCAATTTTCACCAATAACAACAATGTACCTTACCAGTATGAACATATTTATTTTCAGCCATATTAGGTACCTCTTTACTTATTTTTTCTCTATAATATATTATGTAAATAATAGTATCTCCTGTTGTGACTTTGCAAAGTTCGCAGAAGCTGAAGTTGACTCATAAGAATATGCAGACGTCATCAGAAAGTGACGATCCGAGTATCCTACCCCATAGATAAGACCTTTTTGTTTCCCGCCTTTCCTAACCAATTGTGTTTGGGTCCACAATTCAGGATCATTCACATTATGTTGAGTCGGATCATCACCATATTTTTGAGATAGGGCTTTGATATATGATTCCTACAATATACCAAAAGAAAGCTTTTGTTATTGTACTAAAAAGTAAAAACTAATATTAGTAAATATATAAAAAGATAAAGACAACTTACGATTGCCACCCTAGATGTCTCATTCACAAAATCCACTGACACCTCTTTGTCTCCCCCAAAATATATTTTCTTTAATCCGACAGTAAAATGTGTCTTATAATAAAGATCAATGAATGAGCGGTCTTCACCCGTCAATTGTTTCTATATAAACGACACAACATAATTGATGTAATTAGTGTTGAAAGAATGGTCAAGAGAAGGATATAGAACTTCAAATCTTCAATTGTGTTGTTTTTATGGGATAACAGCACACGGAAAATGAGTTTTTGATTTTGTAATTGCAATTCCATGTTGTTTTTGCAATATCTAAAAGTAAGAGAGAAATAATATGATAAACAAGCATATGTTGGTTAATTTCTTCAAAGTAAGTTATTTACTTTTCTTTACATATAATTGTTCATATGAATATGATTTTACATTCATGAAGCAAATCTCATGTCATTGATGCATCCATTATAATTTATGTTCGATCTTGAACATATGTTAATATATTAATATAAATTGATATGTAATGTTTTAGTATTTTTGACAAGTATTTTTTATTTTATATATATATATATATATATATATATATATATATATATATATATATATATATATATATATATATATATATATATATATATATATATATATATATATATATATATATGAGCATTGTTCATTTATGAACATATGTTCATAGATAAACATGTGTTTCTTGATAAACATAGGTTTCAAGATTGGTTTTAATCATATCATTTTGCTTTGTTCATTTAATTTTTGGATTCGTTTTGCTATGTTCCTCCAAGTTTGATGACGATCATGATGTATTTAATGTTGCATTGTTGAAATTATAAAAATCACATAACCTTGGAATCCTCCCTATATTTTTTTAGGTATTTGATTTGGTTGTTAACATGTAACATATTTAAAGTTTTTTGACCATCATATATTTGGCTATGTGGATAGATGGTGTATAGTATTCTCAATAAACTATAAAAATCTTAAAGTGATGACGATCATGATGTATTTAATGTTGCATTGTTGAAATTATAAAAATCACATAACCTTGGAATCCTCCCTATATTTTTTTAGGTATTTGATTTGGTTAACATGTAACATATTTAAAGTTTTTTGACCATCATATATTTGGCTATGTGGATAGATGGTGTATAGTATTCTCAATAAACTATAAAAATCTTAAAGTGAACAATTATATACAAATATTAATCTGAACTGTTTTTCAAATAGTTCTCATCAAGCCATATTTTATAATGCAATTTAGAACTTTTACCGTGAAGTTTTTAAAAAGACCAAACCATTTGGTGTGGTTTTGATTTTAATTAAACGACACAATAGTGCACCACAAACACCCTAATTAATTAAGGTTGATATTGTCCTCTATATAGTGTAAAAGAATGTGTTAATAAGATATATTGAAGTTTCATTATTTTGGACGTGATTTAAACCGTCACTGTAACTAAATATGTAAATATATTAAAACAATTAAATAACTTGATCCACCAGCAATTTTGGGTTGATATTGTATAGTGTAAAAAAACGCGTCAATAAAATATATTGAAGTTTAATTATTTCGGATGTGATTTAAAGTTTAAACCATCACTGTAACTAAATATGTAAATATATTAAAACAATTAAATAACTTGATCCATCAGCGATTTGATTATCATATTCTTACCGAACAGATGGTTTACACACACTAATTTTTTACTATTCCATCTGTTGGAATTATTATTAAATCTCTCAAAGATCTTATCACACAACTATGATTAACCCTATTTTAGCTAATTGAAAAATACATATTAAAATTCTGAATAGCTATAGCTCACTTGGAAAAACATAAATTAAACAAAATTACTCCCGATGAATTAAAAAAAAAAAAGAAACTCAATCTATTCATGAACGTAGCCACAAGAAAGTGCCATCAACAGAATTGCAGCTTCCTTCTCATCTTGTGGAAACACTCGATGAAACGTTAAGTTTTTGTTTAAGCTTACTAAGAATTCTTCAACACAGTTCTTTCGTGTTGGAGTAGACGAAGATGGCGATGGATTTGTGCTTATTTGCTCCGAGTATTGTCGTTTCTTGTACTTTGTAATGTAACCGTTGTTTGGTTTCTTATGATCTTTATGCAGAACTTTTGTAGCTTTCAATGAGGTTGGTTTATCATCAAAAACAACTTTTCCAGTTTCTGCCGCTGCTGCGGCGGCCGCGGCCAATGCTTTCCTGGCTTTCCGTTGCCGGATTCCACATGCATTGCAGAGTGACTGAACAAGAAAGAATATGAAAAATCACGTTACTTAGTTTAAATAAAGAGAAAAGGTGATAAAAGGGTCTAGTATAAAATCATAACATCTCATCGATTTTTAATTGTGGTGTAAGAACTTGAGCATACCTTAGGACCTCGAGGTCCGCTACGCCATAGAGGAGTCTTGGTGGTGTTGCAGTCAGAGCAAACCCTAACTGGGATAGTGGTATTGTTGTTTGACGAATTACTATTGGAAGAGTTTGAGTTAGCATTTTCTTCCATTAATGGAGACGATGCCACTTCTTTATGATCTTGATGATCTTCAAGCTTCAGTAAGGTGTTTAGCTTCACTGGATCGGACTTCTTCATCTTAAGCATTACTCGCATCTTCGAAGACATCCACTTCACTTGATTTTCGTCATTCATATGATCATAAGTTTCCCTCTTCCATAACGAAAATTTAAGCCCACCGATGTTCTTGTCTCCCTCATCTCGATTCTCTACATGAAGATTATCGTATGCTTGTGATCCAAAGTTATCACCCTACATACATAGCATCAAGAAACAGATCAGAAAACCTTGAACTGAAAAGATTATTGTTTTGGAAATTGCACAAAAAGCCAAGAAAACCCCTTTTCAAGTCAACAAAGAACTGTTCAAGAAACTTGGAATGAAGAAGATTCTTGATTTGTGAATTGCATAAAAATCCAAGAAAACACCATTTATATTTCATGAAAAATCAACCCCATTTCTGTTACCTCAAGTTGTGATGGATGTGATTCTCTATCAAAAACACCATCTTGATCATTAGGATTGAAGAAAAGATGGCAAGTGAGAGAGTTCGAAGAAGAAGAAGCTTGAGAATTAGGGCTCAAGAACTGGTGCTCAATGTGCTGATCGCTAGGGCTAAAGAATTGGTGCTCATTGTAATGATCGTTAGACGTCGAGTTTAAGAAAATCGGAGTCATCTATATATCGATCGATGTGAACACAGAAAAAAAAAAAAAAAATACAAAGGATCGTCGAGTAAACTCCACTTTTTAGAACCAGAAAGTAATTTGGACTTAAAGGGGGGTGTGCACACACTCTTTGGTTGCAGCTGGTTAATGCATTCAGATGAGTTCAAGAAACATGAGAATATGCATAAGTTATATATGTATATCGGTGTGTGTTTTCGGTGTTTTGTATGCGTTATATATCAACCAACGAAGAAGTTTAAAGGCAAAAAAGAAGCCACACAACCCTAATATATATTGACAAACCCTATCTGCAAAATGCTAATTCTGTGCCAGTTGAAAAAAAAAACATGATATATTTGACAAGATAAAGCTGGAGCCACACATATATACATTTTGTGATAGACCTTCACATGATCCACCATTTGTTGAGTTTTTGGCAACAAGAGACATTTCTCTACTTTTTGTGTTTTTCTATACTACCTGAGCTTTACTTTTTTATTTTCTCAAGAAAATAAATTTTAAGAAAAATGCAAGTTAAAAACAATCGTGAAGTTAGAACCTCATTCTACCTATGCCAAAGCTAGTCATTGCAATTGCACTTGCACCTGATGACACAAAGCCAACTAAGGCTCGAAAACATCCATTTTTTGGAAAGGCATATATTATTAGGCAAACTAGCAAGAAGTTAAAAAAAACATTACAAAATAATGCAAATAGAGATTAGGTTCTGTACCTAAAACCCGGTTCAAAGTATTTTTGTTACACATATTGGAAATCCATAAAAAAATAAAATAGTAACGACTTCATCAAAAATAGTTGATTTTTTTGGAACAACCATCCCAAAAATTGTAGCATTTCTGTAACTCCAAATGATCCAAAAAGCGGTAACAACCACTACATCAATTACCTTCCTTTTAAAACTAACCTATTGACCCATATTCAAATAATGACATTATTCAACTACGTGACTACGGAGGTACATCTGCACTGACTCCAGGGTATAAGACAAAGCCTCATGTTTGCAATCAGAGATTAGTCAGTGAATGAAAGTTAGTCGAGAACGCTCGTCAGGGAAGTTCATTTCTGAAAAAAGAGGAACCTTATGCGACCAAGAAGTAAGAAAAGATAAGGACAAATTTGTTGAGACCTCTAAATCCCACCAAAAAGCAATCCGAAACCAGATAGATCTCAAATCAAGACACCCTGCACAAATATGATCTATTGTCTTGATGTGAGAAACACAAATATTGTATAATCATGTTTCCTACCATTTCTGAGCCATGGATCGGAAGTCGATTGTGTAAGGTTTTGAGCCTTAAGAAGGAAAAGTTTAGTCCTTGTGGAAGGAGGTAATGATAGTTAAGAGATTTTACCCTTGAATTGTGTTCTGGGCCAAAGGGTAGAAAGGGAAAAGTCATAGGTTGGGTCCTTGCATGTAATATGGATTTTTGTTTGAGAAACTTTTAGTCCAAGATAACTAGATAATATTGTAGAGCTCTTCAACACCTTTCCGTGGATATAAAGCACGTTGAAAATGGAGTTAGAACGAATAAGTTATGACCGTTTGAAGTTAGGATGGTTTTGGGTTAAGCTGTGTATGATGGGCGTACTCAACGTGTATGCTGGCGTACTAGGGCATCCCTAGTACGCTGGGTGTAAATTGAGTATCATGGGCGTACGCGATTAGTACCCAAACCCTATTTTCATGGTTAGAGCCCTATTTAAGCTCCTTAACTCCCCCAAACTCATTCCATTCTCAGCCTCCACCTCTCCAACACCCTCTCTTGAAACCCAAACCCTAGATTGATATCCTAGTTTACTGTATGTTGCTATGTTGTAATGATCTGTTAAATCTGTATCATGGTATATAAGATGTTGTTATGTTGTAGTGATCTGTTAGATTTGTATCCTAGTATATAAAATGTCACTATGTTGTAGTGATCTCTTAGATCTGTATCCTGGTATATAGAATGTTGTTATGTTGTAGTGATCTGTTAGATCTGTATGACTACCGTATCTGCTAGCTATTGACTATTATGGTGTATATTGATATGTTATGGTTTGTTGGGTGTAACACCGTAAATTTTCAAAAAAAAAAATTCATTTAAAAATTGCATACTTTTCATAGCATATTATATAAAAATCTCATTAATAATCCAGGATCCTCGTAACTCTTTCTCTGGTGTGTACAATCAAGCCGGTGCCGTCCCGCGATCCTGAGAAACCTGAAACAATAACACATACACGGTAAGCACAAAACTTAGTGAATTCCCCAAAATACCACATACAATGCATAAGACACTCAAGGCTATAACTCGGTATGAACCTCCGGTCAATATGTCTCAACGGGACCCTCCAGTCCCGTAGCTCGTTGGACCCTCTGGTCCGGTCTAGCTTGTTGGATCCTTCGGTCCAGTATGGATCGTTAGACCCTCCAATCCGGTCTGATCGAGTACCCTTTGGCCTCATGAGTCGTTGGACCCTATGGTCCGGTCTATATAACACATAGCATACTTTTGAATAATGCCCATAAATCTCAAACATACATATACACATAAGACCCTCTAGTCTGCACATAGATACCACTCTAGGTAATGTATAGTGAGAAGACTCACCTGACAAGTAGCAAGTAAGGACCTCGCTCCCGAATCTCGAATTAGCCTCCGCCTAATCACAAGGGATGAATATTTCTAAGTGATACTCTAATCACCACTCTAAAGACCGAAGGCTATTCTTCCTCTCTTTAATTCTTTGAAGTGGATAAAAGACCATTTTACCCCTCCATGGCCTCTACTACTCATGTGGACCAAAGCCCCAAAGTCAACAAAAGTTAAACTCGAGTCACCAGTCCATGTTTGACCCGACTCACCAAGTGCACCCTTGCGACTCGTCAAGCCCACTTATTTTCCTCAAAAGTCTCGTGACAGTCCAGCTCAGCTCGTCGACTTGACCTCCAAATCGTCGAGCTATCGCATGATTGAGTTCTTCGGGACAAACCCTAACCAACTCGTCGAGTCGACTCATTGACTCGGCGAGTTCATTAAGACCAAATATTCATTCAAACGATTTCAATCAGATCTATCACTCCAAACAATAGATCTATCATCCCAAGGCTCAATAATCACGTAAAGCTTCGATCTTTACGTTCATACTCGAGGTTAGTGCTCCAAAATGCTAATATATGACTTTCATGAAGGATTTAGCTCATCAACCCTCATTTGAACGATGAAAGTTGGGACACCTAGACATTAAGGACCTTAGGCGGTCCAGATCTGAGGTTTCCAACCTCAAACCATGTCTCATTCAACTCATAGATTCAAAAGGATGGAAGCAAAGCCCTAAAACTCCTAAAATGAGATCTAGTACAAGGAATGAGCAAGATGAGGACTTTGTACCTTATTCTAGCAGCTGAAATACTCAATACAACAGATCCACTGTCTTCCTTTGTTCCCCATCATGAAGCTCTTCATCCTTTGCCCAAAATGATCATACACTCACTTTACCAAGGTTAGAACGATTTAAGGGTTTCTCTCAGGCTCTCAAGAGAGAGTGTGGCCGTAAATGAAGGCCATAAGGGCCTTTAAATAGGTCACAAACCTGGACAATTATGGTTTCTCTGCCCAGTACCTACTCGGCGAGTTCCTCCTCTGACTCGTTGAGTCCACTCATTAAATCTACACGATCAACTCGACTTGACTCGGTGAGTTGGTCCCTCAGCTCATCGAGTCCCTCCTTCAATCTCAAGATTAACATACACAATAGTGTCCCTAAAAATCCGAATGTTACATTGGGTTGAGTTGGCCCTACTTTGTGCTAAAGGCCAAGACACCTAGGGCGGTCCAGATAAATTGAAGGCCTGCAAGGCGGTCCAGTTAGGCTGAAGGTCTGGAGAGTAGTCCAGATAAGTTGTAGGACGGTGCGGCAGTCCAATCATGTTAAAGGATTTGAGAGTGGTCCGGATAGTCTATACATGCAGCGCGATACAGTTATGCTAAATGCTCATGTATGCATTCTATTGTTGTTATCTCATGTGATGGTACTTTGGGGAAAACTCGCGAGGCTTCATACTTACGGTTTCAATTTGTTGTTTTGGGTACTCCAGAGGATCGTGGGAAAGTGTAGGCGTGATCGTACACATCTTCCTATATTTATGACATTGGATCTTGGGATACTCTGATTTTGAATAATACTTTTGAAACATTGGTTTTATAAACACTTTATGGAAGAAATGGATTGTTTTGAAAAGTTAACATCTTTTGTGATTTTTGGATGTTACAAATAGGAAAAAGAATGAACTACACCTCTATTCCACTAGCTGACAACCTTTCTCTAGTAGGAATTCTCCTTGAACGATCCTCTACATAGAAATATTAACTTTTCTTGGCACCCAAGAATTCCACAAGGTTTGTTGACCATCCCGTATAAAAGAGCCACTATCCAAAAAAAAAAAAATCCTAGCCGAAGAAATAGAGAAAACATCATAAGTATCCAAAGACCATCCTAACCTATCCGGGTGATTGGAAAGTTGTACCTCCTGCATCAAGGAGATAAAACCATGCCAATATTCTTCCTCCACGTCACCATAAGGATGCCGACAAATAAAATCACTAAAAGAAGCCGACATGAAACGATACACCACTAGCCCCTCCTTAGATTTATCCAAACTGTAAATCCTTTGAAAAGTGATAGAAAAAGGTCTATCTCAAAACTAAATGCCATCCTAGAAATCTGTGTACTTCCCATCACCAACTTTAATTTTGTAAAGAGAAACCAAATCCTGACCCCGATCCCTCAACTGATGAATCTCTTTCAGAATAGCAACCCACGACCCAAAGTTGGTCCTAGAAGGGACCAAAGATCTGAACCCACTATCCTGATCATAAAGAACTTTAACTACCTGCATCCACAAACACTCCAAAGAGTTAAACAAAAGCATTAATTATGTACTTTAAAACTCATAATGTATGATAAAGTTATTTGTTACATAAAGGCAGAAAAACTAATAATACAGGAAAACAAAAATACATAGTAAATGAAAAATAATAACAAATTATATAGAAAAAGCATTAATTATGTGCCGTAAAATTCATAATATATGATAAAGTTATTTGTTACATAAAAACAACAATTATGAAACATAAAATTATTCA